CAAGGTAAACTGTGAGGTCCTCCACTCCAAACTGAGAGCGTACGGTTTTGCTGGATCACTGCATAGATGGATACTGGTTTCTGTTTGGTCGAAAGTGGAGGATACAAGTCGACGGCTGACTGACTGGTGTCCCTCTATCAGTGGCGTACGCGAACGCACGGTTATGGGACATATTTTGCTGCCGTTCTATGCCAACGATCCATCTCAGCTTCTCCGATGACTCCGTGCCTTGTTTTCAGATGACCCGAATTTTTGGATATCGATTAACACCCCAGTCGACCGTAGTCTACTTCAACAAGACCTCAGTCATCTCTTTATGTGAACTGTAGAGGTCCGCCTCTTAATCAACCCAAGCAAGTCCGTATTCATAAGCCTATGGCAGAGTGGTTGCGGCCGAACTTACACCATTGATGTCCAACTGCTACATCTCACGCCTTCCGAGAAGGATCTGGATGTACTCTTGCGCTGCGACTTGAGATCCGGGGATGACACAGGTTATGTCGCAACGGACTGCGCATGTTATAAGAGACCAAGCACAACTTTTGTACTTTGTCAAAACGGGTCGCCGCTCATCTCTTCCACCGTAAGACCGATACTAGAGTACGACTTTCCGGCTTACCGAGGCAAGACACAGAAGATCGAGTGGGTCCAGTACGTCTTTACCAGGTCCACTCCTGGTTTACGAAGATTACTGTAAGAAGACGGCTGCGTGAAACCAGAACTCGTTGGGTGCTAGTCGATCTCATCGTGACCTACGGCATATTACACATCGCTGCTTCACTTGCGAACGCTATTCACCACATGCGGACACCGGCACAAGCATGTGCTGTTGGATATAAAACGGAGAGTGGCGAATGTCTGGATTAGTCTGCCAGAGCAGGTCATGGAGACCAAATTTGTGCAACAGTTGAAGACATTGTTTGATTTACATTTCACCCCCGTTCAATTATGGGAGCGATTAGACACTGGCAATGGCCTCTTACATTTTTGAGCCCAGTAGCATTGTAATTCAAATCTTTTTAAATGCTACATTAGAAATTGAAAAAATAAATTTCTAGCTGTATTCCATAACGGCGCTTCACTGCCACGTGACCACCATCAGCCGCGCGCGGGCTGGGTATCCCGCGAGGACGCGTATCCGAACCGGTGACCTTAAAGTTACAAAGCAGGCGCGTTGACCACTCGACCACCGACCGACCTAGAAAAACGATTGAAGTACGGTTGTTGTTGTTGTTGTTGTTGTTGTTGTTGTTGTTGTTGTTGTTGTTATAGGGAAGTGTTTCGCTTTTGACACCTGATTTGTCAGGCCAGGTGAACCAGTGCATGATTGATGTGTCATTTATGGTAAACGGGCACAATATTTTCTGCCAAAAGCGAAACGCTGCCCTACATTTACACCAACCGGTTGTTTTCGGAATCATGAATTCTCGATCGGTTGCGAGCGAATTTGAAGATTTTGAAATTGAAGAACGCTTAGAGTATCAACGGATGGTTGATACCTTTTATGCTATTTTTGATTATATTCCGATGGAGTTGTATAGATTTAAATATCCACGTGCTCCTACAATGCGTTATTCACTATTCAAGTGGATTCGCATAAGGAACGGAAAAACTAGCAAAAGACGTTGCTGCAACCTTTATTAGAACAAATTCGGTCTGCTTTACACCTCTTCAAACTACAGAAGGACCGGTAAACAACCGAACGCAATATCCGCTGGAGGAGCTATAAAAGTGATACCTCGTCAACTTTCATCACATCTCGTCCTAACGATGCTGAGCTTCAGTGGAATAGGATCTTGGTGGCTATGCACGTTGCGGGATCCTCTCCTCACCACCCCAGTCACTGAATATCCGAGAGGCCGATGAGCCTATTGGAATCCAGTAGTAAATTCTTGGCTGGCTCTGTGCTCAATGTGACTAGATGGACTGTTTAGTGAGAACTAAAGCGGAACTTACGCATTGACAAGGAAGCCTGGTGGACTAGTAGGGCGCAAGAAATGGAGGAAGCAGGTGCAGTAGGCAATTATCGTAAGCTCTTCCAGCTTATCCGCACTACTGGTCCCAGGAAACCAGGCCTCAGTGAAACAATCAGAGACAGCGCGAGTGCACTGATTCAAAATATGGTGGAGCGTTGTATGACTCGTTGGGTGGCACACGTTTACGTTGAGTTCGGTTAGCCCCATGCTTCCGTCCCTCTTCCTACTCAGGTGATGCAGGTTGAGCCATAGACGGTTAGTTAAGAGGCTCCTTCGGAGGTTGAGGTCCGAAATGCGATCGCAGCCCTTATTCGTTTTCCTGCTACTGGCCTGAATCCCCTCGCATCCGCACTATAGAAGATGAATGTCAGGTCCTTTGCAAAACACTGACTTCCCTGCTCGAATATGTCTGGATGGATGAGACCGTCCCAACTAACTGGAGTAAAACGATTATCGTGGCAATATACCAGAAGGGCGCTCGCACCGCTTGTGCTAGCCACAGAGGTATTGGCCTAACGTCAGTTGTGACAAAATTACTGGCCTCGAATCTCGTTCGTCGCCTCGAACACGGCAGGCCGCGTCAGGATCTGCGGTGATTTGTCGGATGCTTTTCCGACCACAAGTGGCGTCCGTCAGAGTTGTCCTGTTTTCCCATCTTTTTCAATTTCCTCATGGACTCCATCATGGATAGTTCCCTTGCGGAGCCTCACGACGCATGCGTTGAGCTGCTGTCTGGTGAAATGCTGGTTGTTTTGATTATGCGGGCGATATTGTCTTGCTATTTAACGATGTTGGGGCAGCGCAATCAAACCTGAATAATCTCACTAGATTGTTCGCATCATAATGTATGTGCCTCACACTTTTAAAGAGCAGTGTCGTTGCAGGATCCTCATCCAGTTGATGACCCCTTGAAGCTTGATAACGAGGAACTCGAGGTATTTGCTCAATTCACTTACCTTGTCAGCTGCATCAGCAACAACGAGCGCATAGCAACGGAAGTCAGTTCACGTATTGCAAAATCCAGAACTGCCCCTTTGTATCTCTCAACACCTTTGGCAACAAGGAGTTTCCTCCTGTATGAAAGACGGTGTTTACAAGTCTACTGTGAGGGTTATCCTACTCTATGGAGTGAAACTTGGTCCCTTCGGTCTGAAGAGCTGAGGCGCAATTAAGTCTTTGGTCATCGTTCTCTTCGGAGCATTGCTGGTGTCGGGTGGTTTCAGCGTGTATACCACGATGATATGCGTAAGCGAGTGTTAGGCGGTGATAATCAGCCTAGCCCCTTAGAACAACAGATAGCACTGAATAAATTGCGTTGTCTTGGGCACATACTACGTATGCCCGGTCACTGCTTGCTGAGGAGAGCGTTATTTTGTTTGCCATATGTAGGGTTGCGCAAGGCTCGAGGTGGGTAAACGTTAACTTAGCGGTAGGATATTAACTTAATAGTCCGTCTCGTCTTCCAGGCTAGAGTCCACATGACTCGCCTAGGGCTTGGTTTGAGACTTTACAGGACACGGCTTGCATTCGACACCAGTGGCTTCTCTGCCGTGCTCTCTTTGTCTGACTGCCTGTTTCTTGTGCGTTTGATGCTGTTATTTGTGGGGTAATGACTGATTATGACGCGGGGCATTGAAAGCCGCAAGGAAGCTGTCTCGCCGATGTCGCATTATCTTTTCACGACTGCCAGGTATTTGGGATGGTATGTTGTTGACCCTGAAAGTTTTTTTAGGGCATTGCGGTTTTACGCTAGGCCCCTCTATTTTCTCTTTTATTCTTTATTCCTTAGGTCGCCACGGTTTTACGGCAGGGAAGCATCAGTTCAAATGGCTCATGTATTTCTGTTGGTCATGTTGATGATGATGATGGGTCTTTTGGAATGTACCACTTCATCCTTGGGCTAAATGACGTGTTATTAAGGATTTGTGTCATTATCCGAGGAGTTGCAGCTGTCTTTCCCCGAGAATTTTTTGCATGTCATCAGGTCCGCACGATGCGTTTCGTTTCTATAACGCCAATCCATGGTCGTTCTAACCCATAGCGTACGCTGCTACCCTAGCTTCTTGTGTGGGTTCGGGTGAGGTAGCCAAAAATTCCGGCACAATGCGCCGGTTGCGTCTAGTTATTCGAGTCAAAAATACTTGTGCTGTAACTGTGAGTGGATTGCTTGTTTTCTTTCCTCAGCTATTATCCCGCTTATAGGAACTCTTCCTTTATTCTTGCCAAATAACTTGGAACAGCGCTCAGCTTTCTTTGTCTCACTCGCTCTCGCCGTCCGCCAATGGTTTCGTTTAAAGGAGTTACAGACTCGAAATGATTTTTCTGCAGAAGCATCTTTTTGTTTCACCCAAGCGTATCGGATGTCTCAGGCTGGGAGGACAAACGACGTCGATTGTTTTTTGCCTAGCATATTAGGCGTGATTCCCGCTCGTATTCCATTTGTTTATCTCAAACACTACAGAACGCATACTGGTCTACGACGAATCGTCGGACGTTCTTTCGACAATAAGTGGCTTTTTCTAGGGTTGTCCATCTGCTCATTTTGTGCAACTTTACTGTGGAACTCCATCGGGGATTGAACCCATAGGGAATCTGGCGATGCAGGTTTTCAGGCATTGTTGATCTTGCTTAGACGGATGTGTCGTGACGAGTGCGATTTAGATCACCAACCTCTGCATCGCGTCTTGTTTTTTCATTCAGTCAAGAGCCATATTGAGTTCACCGTGCTTATCAGATGCTAGCAACTGGTGATGTTTGTTTTTCGTATTAGAGATCACAATGTCTAAAATTCCCTATATGCTGATGTCTTCACTACACATGCCTTATTATTTCTGAAGGAAGTTTCCTCACCTCATTTTTGTAATGCTACTCATCTTTAGCCATCTGTCACCAGATTTTCTAACTGTTCTGTAACTTACCAAGTGTATCCGCATTTTTAGTTGATTTTGTTTTCTCTGTCCACTGGACTGATTCTTTTTCATTGTTTTTCTTTTTCCACCACCTGCTATCTGGACTCATCTTCAGCACTTGGCGACCGAACAGGCCCCACTCATCTGCGACAAAGCGGTCCTTCTAGATGCTATGGGATTTGAACATTCTATGGAGTTACACTGTATCCTTGCTGCTGTGACCGAGCGCCCCAATGAACTTCCCTTTCGGACTAATTCGTCTTACGTCACTTACCTGGAGTGGCTAACTTTTAACCAAGAGGGTATGAGCATTTCCAAAATGGTTATGACACTTTTAAATGACATGTTTGCAGTGATGTCGCGGATCAATTGTTTTCCGTATTTCCTGTTGACCTCCTTCCCAACCAGACCACTTCCAAACTTGCCCGTGTCCGAGTGTTTCAGGCGTCTGGCCTATTATTCGCACGTAATCGGCTCGTACTTGAGTAGCTGCTAGAGACCTTACGGTGTTCGAGCCCTCGTGCAACCATCACTGGTTCCGTGGCAGCGAAGCGCCTTCACGAGGTTCCAACTTGCTGATCGTACTTTCAAATAAACTTCCATCACTCCAATGGATGGAGACTATTCTACTATGTCATTCTATTCATCAAACGCATTTTTCCATTTTCTGCCTTGGTTGAACGTTTGTACGACCCCCTCATGGAGGTTCTATTTTCAGCCAAGTGTGCGCTAAGAAGTCGATAACCGAAGTCTATGATGCGCCTGTTGAGATAAGCTCATTGTGTCTGCTTGTTTCCATCTCCCATTGATTGTAACAACTCGTTCTTTCTGCCTTGTTCATTTCACGCTTCAATGCGTTCCCGATCACGTGGCCTACTGTTTGTAATTGAGCTTTCGAACTCCAGTCGAGCCATTTCAGTAGATCAGATGAAATCCAGGGCACCGAAGGACGGTGCACCTTCACTCTGAGATAACAGCAAAATAGTCAAGGATCAGAGATGAGGGGACGGTTTTATGGGCGCCACATACTGCGCGATAACGCCACACTCAACAATGAGAGTCCAACTACTTACCTGTGCCATCTCGAGAATCTTGTCAATGAGGAGGATAAACACCAGCTTTCTCAACTCTTTAGTGAATTTCTTGCCCTTTTGTCGCGTTACTAACTGACCATCCCGGGGTTTGGCCCAACTAAATTCAACCAAGGCGGTCCTAGTCTAACAGGTACTCTAGTGGGTTACTGGAGAGTATCTTACTAAACAATCAACCAAATATGAACTGCACCACATAGGTTCCGATGATCAAACAGCGACTTCTCATCGTTTCATACAGAGGAACTGCCACCTTGAGAAAAAACCCTGTCAAAACCAAAAGAAAAACCAGTGGCGCCTGTACGACGGAATGTCGTATATCAACCGCATCACAGAAATTGTAAAAAGGACTATGTTGGCCGAACAGAAAGAAAATTGGCAACAAGGATATAAAAGCACAAAGAAGCCTGTGGAAAGCGTTATCCATCATTCCTGGTCTCCGTGCTTATGGACAGGGCAGTTTTGATCGAGCCAAAGCAGAAGTTTTGACTCGAGACGGGACAAAAAGAGAGAGTTCCTTGGGACTTGGTTCTTGACGAAGAATTCCATCAAAATGCATATCGACATGAGCTCAATATCCGAATCACTCCAACAGAAAGAAATCGGGAGATTTTCAGTACGCCGCTTATGCCAGAACAATCACCTTAAACCTATCGCCTTTACTTTACAATTCATATGTCAGTAGTACTGCGATTATCTCCCCACGTCGGAACGTCATTCTTGCAGCCAACCAGAATCACTCGGGCTGCATTGAGTACCTTGTTGGACAGCCAATCAAGGCTAAACGCTAATGAAATTGCGAGAATCTCCCCGATTTGTGAGCCCTTCCTTTAACCGACACTTACATCCTGCCTTCTCTATAACTGGCTGCAGGTTTGAAAAGCCAGTGGTCCAGAACAGTACGTTCAACCTTACCGATGATGTGAGCACGCCTACTCCGACCGGTTGAATGGGACCAATCCTATACCAATAGTTTCCACTTTTCATATGTAAGCAAGTGAATCCTGTTTTTACCATTTGATCAGTATGAGTTAATTTTCTATCAGAATATCCTCGCTAAACATCGGCGTTGGTCGGGACACGCTGTCGTTGCCTTGTAAAAGTGCCGTTTCTGTTTTTTCCCCATTTTTCGCGCTCGTTCGTTTTTTATGCATTTTATGCTTACTCTCAAGTTTTTTGTTCGTTCGTACTTCACTATGTTCTTAAATTCTTTCAGGTGGTGGTGTTGCTATATTGTCCCAATGCTTTTTTTTATCTCATCAATGTCTACCTGAACTATCTTCTATAAACTTGCATACGTCGCTTAAGCTAATTGTAGTTAACTTCGATAACATTTTCGCGTTTGTGGCATTTCCTTAAAATATAGTTTCTGACTTCTTGAACTTATCGCGGATTCCTTCATAATCAATTTTTATACACCTATTAAGTGACCAGTGATGTCACCGTATCTGTATGCATTATTCCAATAGTTTTTTTGGTCCCGTCGTTTCAATTGATTGGCTGTTGCCTGGTATCCCCGGTGTGGCTGCGCTTGATGTGCATGTTGACAAGGTGCCTACCTGTCTATAACCCACTATCTCGTTCATACTGGCTCCAGGAGACAGTCGGTCGTTTCTGGAGGGGACGGGGTGCACGGTCCTTGTGGTCTTGCTTGGCTCGAAGAGTGATTCCGTGCACTCATTGTGGAGCGGACCACGGTCCGACCACCGCCTTGTGTACGTTTGATTCCCAAATACAGCGCGCTTGTGTTTGCCTGTGAAGGAGTGTGAGTCCGCTCCGTTGATGAACCGTGGCTGCCATCCACATGCCTCCCGGTCTTATTTCTTCGGGTTTACACTGGATATGGGGTGTGTGGGTGGTGCAGCTCAAGCCACCTATGGTCACTGTGTAGGCGCAGGCGTCCGGTGGCTGGCCACATTGACAGGCAAATCCGAAACCGGATGCCACCAGCCATGTTTCTAAATGCCACTTTACTTGGTTATTACGTCAAGGCCTAGCTCTATTAGTTGACATTTGTTGTTGCAGTCTTCCACTTCTTTCATCATCAAATCTACGTCGTGATTCTTTTCTGTCCCTACATGCTCTTGTTCAATGGGGCAGGTTGTGCACTGAAATTTCCAAGTCCATGTGCCTCTCCTATTTGTACAGCGCATTTCCTTCTATCCTACTTGATGCGATCATAAAACTAGTGGCATTGTTGCCTTTTTCCAACTTCCTGTTTCATACTTTATAATTTCGTTATAATTGCTTTTATTTTAAGGAAATTCCTTGCACCCATATTTAGTCAGATTGTTGGAACATATTTGAAGAGGCGAGCGCGGCCGTCTCGTCATGTTGCGATTCGTTACCAGGTGCATTCGAACTGACGACTGTCCCTTAAGAGGTAGCGACTTAAGCCGTCATTACTGCTCGCTGTTGTTTACGTTTCGGTGGCAACATCCACGGTGAGGGGATCCATCGTATTCCGAAACACGGATTCTCCTTGGTCACCAAACCGAATTACCGTACGGTGGGGTGATTGTCTCTCATCACTTCTTCCCGGATGCTATTTCTGTAGACTGCCATACTTCCGACTTTGTTTCTAGGTTCCAACTCGAAGTTTCCATTGACTCGGCATCGTCGCTTTGTTGGATCAAGCTTTCCAGACTACGTGTCCCTTACTAGAGACAATCAATCCCTTCATATATGCGCAGAGGGGACGTTTCACGCGGTGTATGATTCTGAGAACCCCAATCTTACTGTTATCCAAGGTGAGCTTTTTTGCTTCCTCTCTACTTTCACCCGTAATTGTCACTTGGTTACTCTGGACTTTGACGCCGTATATCACTTGTTAAGTGGTCTATGTACCCCGTCTGTCCTGTGGGCACTTACTATATAAACGAAAGTTGTCGACCTGTTCTATTGATTGGTTATCTGATGTTTATCTTTTGTTTCTCGCTTGTTGTCAAGCCATTTTCCCAAGTTGCGAATTGCGATATCGCTCCGACACTTTTGGGTCCAAGTTTTGAGTAAATTGCCCCTTTCCTTGTATTTTATTATCTCCTTGGCATCTGTTCGCCTCTTTTTCATTACAGTGATTTTACTGTGAGTTAGTTGTTTTTCAGGACTTCTAGGTGAGCCCTACCAGTACTGGCGTCTTTCGAACTTACGTTATATTGCGCTGTTGTTACTTAGGCAGTGTGTCCACATCTGTAAGTAACCTCAGGAAGACCCGAGTTCGCCAAGTAACTTGAGAAATTGGTGTTTCCGAATTGAACCTGTTGTTCTTTTGGAACGCAATATTCATCTCCAACACTTTTGCACTAAGCCCTCTTCTTATTTTGTCATGCAGATTAAAAATCAAAATCGAGTCGACTACCAGGAGCATGCTTGTACTTAGCCGAACTCTTAGGCCCACTACTCAATGCACTGACCTTAAGTGCATTGCACAAACCTTATTCTTATCCATCATTTCTGTAGCTACCAGCATGCTTTTCCTCTTTGGTCATTCTAATGTGTATCTTGACCCCTCATCCTTCTATCTGGAATGCCACCGGCTTCTTACATAACGTGCCCCTGTTGAACTGGATTGACGAACAAACTCCAAGTGGTGCCAGTTGAGTGGTTCGGGTTTATCCCGTTCCAGCAAACAGTTTGGCGGCAGTGTTTCAGGACGCAGTGGGATTTCGCCTGACAAGCGTTCTGCTTATAAAAGGCCACGAATCCGTCTAACAACACTGCAACTTGGCGGATATCACTCGACACTAAATAGTGCCACTGCTTCTTGCTTCACTCTTGTGCAGCATTGTACTCCAGCAACGCGAAACTGAAATTGTTGGGAGGATTGAGCATCTGTTTGTCAACCGACCAAATGGCGTGTGAACTGAGCAATCAGTCACCGGATCTTAATGGGCGCGATTCCCTGAATCCGCCTCACTGCATTGCGAGTAGGCTATTCAGCCAAAATGCTCCGGGTGGTGTCCCTTAAGCCAATACCTTACTTCGGCCTGGGCAACCGGGTAGTATCGTGCCATCTGACACAGACATGTCACTAATCTGGCCGCACATGTGAATCGGCCAACTACATACGGCAGCGTTCCACCAGTCTGTATCGCGAAAATTTTATTTCAAATGATATATGAGAAACTAGTAATCCTGTATATGAAAATATGATGTCCCACTTTTTGCAGCAACCAACTATTTTATGTTATCTCACAGAATTTCTGCGTTTAAAAAGGTTCAGTATGCATATAAATAAAAGAGAGCACAATTCCGTATGTGGAAGCATATAAGTGCTCTGTTGCGGTGGGTGAAAAATGATAAAAGCGGACCGTTCTGGTGAATGAATGGATACCAACGTGAAACTTGTGTGTGCATATAGCTGCACACTACTTACTAATCATATAGGTTGTGCTCACACAACCAACAGTTAGAAATTACGACAGAAAACAGATTTATCCTTTAGATACAAATTTGTAGAAATCGTTCTTTAAAACAAAAATATGGTGACCTCGATAATTCATAGAAAAATTAGTGCAATGAGCTGTTGTCCAGATACTAACTGTCGGTTAGATGTGCTTTCACACTAGGAATCTTATAAAAACCATCCTTATCTTCATCCAAAATACAGACTGGTGGAACACTACGGAGAAACATAAGGAAGAAGTAGAGGGAGTATTGTCGACGGGGTCGTTGTGGCAGGTGATACTCTCCCCTTGCCCATTCCGAGAGAGGGGTTTTGATCGAGGGGCCTTACCTCTAGCCTTTGACGTAGCAACCTGACCCACAAAGAAGTGGTGGATTTGGAGCTTCGCTTGAGGGACTCCACTCGGAGCATTTCGTTCAATAGCCTGACCCACAATGCAGCGGGGAGCAAGTCCAGCTCGGCAGTGTGATTGCAGAGACCGCTTGGAGTCCGCTCGAGGCCTGTCACACACAGATTTTGTATATTTGGAACAATTCACAAATATTTCAGAACCGTATTACCTTATGCAACTGCGATCACGGCCATCCGCAGTTGGAAGTTGGCGGATTTGCAACAATTTGACTATGGGTTGCATGGCTTGAGGCGGGCAGGAGCAAACCATGAAGCACCGGAAGGTGTTCTCCCACTGTCAGAGACAATGGGTGTTGCTCGTGCTCTACGCCAATCAAGCTCTGAGCTTATAACCCGTAGACAAATTGTCTCCCTCGGTTAGATTTTAAAGGAAGTGAGCCACCGACTTCCTAACCTCGGAAAAGGCTTGGATCCTGAGACTGAGGTAATCTGACCCGTAATCATTGACCAGTCTGGTATGAGTGGCTCTGAAGGCACTTGGAAGGGCCATGCAGAGCCGCTCAAACCAGATTGGTCAATGGATAGGGTTCAGACAAACTCAGTATCCTGGCCCTCCATAAAACGGACTCTGTAGCCCAGGGCCTAAACTCTGCTGCTTTGCGGTAAGGTTTTTAACCAAAAGCTTTGGTTGAGGACGTTAATCCTTCTTCTGTCTAGGTCTGGGCAACTTGAGAGTATCCTGCTCACGCAATACATCACTTTTTCTTCTACCAACCGCTTGAACCTCTTGGCCATCACAGAGGATAATCAATGATGCCCTATCTGCTGCATCGGGCAGGGTGGATGTGGGCTTAGATGCTACTGCTCACGCCTTTCCGTCTTCGGTCCCACTTTCTAGCTGTTGGCCGTGTGAGCGCAGCGTATATGATTATTAAGTGGTGTGCAGCCATATGCACACACACAAGTTTCACGTTGTTATCCATTCCTTAACCAGAACGGTCCGCTTTTATCATTTTTCACCCACTGCAATGGAGCACTTATATGCTTCCACACACACACTGAAATATGTTCTCTTATTGATATGCACACTGAACCACTTTAAAGGCAGACATTCTGTAAGACAACATAAAACAGTTGTTTGTTACAGAAAATGGGACATCTGTTTTCATATAGAGTTAATTATTCTTCTCATCTATTATTCGAATTTGCGCGCTACAGACTGGTGGAACGCTACTATTTTTTCCCTTTTCAACTCCATTATTCCCCATCTATTGAGCAAAAATCTGCCACTGATTTCACTGTTGCTGCTGCTATCGATACTCATAATTGGTTCATCCAACCACGAGCCTCATTTTACACTGTTTCTCTTAACGTCCGCACTATGGGTCAGATGGGTCCACAGGCAGCACTGCCTCTCACCCTTCACTATTTTGGTATTCATGTATCCTGTGTCTCCGAAACACGCATACAAGATAACATCGTTGTGACGAATCTTCGACTGCCTGGTTCTGAATCTAACGTCAGTGACTATACACTTCACGTCTCTTGTGATATCGAGTCAGTGGCTCAAAGTATTTACGGTGTTGGTATCTTCCTCAGCAAACAGCAACTGGATACCGGTGAACAGCCGCATGTATGCGGTTCGACTTCGAACCTCCATTGAGGCTAATAAGCACCGTATGAAGACAAGGTGCCTTTCCATCGCCTCTGTTTATGCTCCTACTGGCTGAAGTTCGGAGGGAGGGTGCGAAAATTATCGAGGCTTTAGTTTTGTTTCTGCTCCCTCCACACTTCTCACGAGTATCATTCTCCGATAACTTACTGGTTCCTGTGTGAACCGTATCACTGTAAACCAAGCTGGCTTCCATCCTGTTGGTGGTTTTATCGACCATGTATTTACTTTCTGCCGAGTTTTGTAGCAGAGACACAGACGACTAACCATGGGGATTTCCCTTGACTTGATAACCGCCTTCGACTCTGTTGACCGCGCCAGTTTGTGGCACTGTCTGCCCATGAAGGGCGTGTAGGCTATATTCCTTTCCATTATGCAGTTTCTCTAGCGTGATTCCCGAGGTCGTGTAAGGGACCTATTGGAAACTGTCTCCTGAGTTACACCAGGATTGTCTTATGTCTTTTTTCCTCTTCAACTTTGTGGTCGAGGTGATCACGAATGACTCGGTTGTTTCAGACTATTCTGGAGTGGAAGTTCTATCTTGAGTATGCGAGGATATAGCTCTCCTTCAGTCTGACGCAGTTTCTTTGCAGCAACCACTGAACTGAGTAAAGCGTAGAACTGCACTCTTCGGCGCCTGCTTTGCACCTTCAAAGTGCAAAGTACTGTCGCAGAACTGGACCGACACAGCTCCGGTATCAGCTTGTACCGAACAGCCACTGGAAGTGGTGGATCGGTTCACTTACTTTGGTAGCTATATCACCTCTGGTGGTCATCTCACCGAGGATGTTAGTTCGCGTAACAGTAAGGCCCGTGTGGATTTCCGGAAACTCAACCATCTGTGACGATGGCGGGATATCAGTGAAGGATAGGGTGTATAACACTGCGATAAAGTCGATGTTGTAGTATGGATCAGAGACCTAGTCAGTTCACGGCAAAGACATTTGACGCATGGCCGTGTTTGACCACTGATGCTTGTGGAGTATTGCTCACATGTGGTGGGAACACCGAGTGGACAGTGCTAAGATCAGCCAGTTGGATTTTGGCAAGAAACCTTCTGATGTCTCTGGAGTTTTGCTAAATTTTAATCGCTTAAGTTGACTACGCCATGTCCTCCGTATGCTTGTTGACCGGCTTCCTCGACGTGCATTACACGCCGTGGCTTCACCAAGTTGGGCGAGACTGCGGGGTGGCCAGTTCATGACGTGGCATATAGGCATGAAGAATTCGACTGAGAGATTTGCATGGGGGCCTCGGGATGGTCCACACCACTGATTGGAAACTGCATCAAACATGGCGCAGTCTCTGGCGTTCCTTCATTAGGTTTCTTGCATCTGCTTGTTAATTATGGTTCTTGCTTCCTTTTTCCTTCCATTTTATGTACACCCAACCCAACTATTTGACGTTGTTATACATTGTTATTCTTGCGATCTGCGTCTTGGCAACTGGATCCACCGCACTTCGGTGCTCGGATCGTAGTTGTTCAGCTTCACTGAACTGAGTTGTTGATGTCTCGCAGCCGCATGCCGATGTACGCAGTTGCCAACCAAACACCTGAACCATTTTACACCACAGATCATTTTGTTTTTGCTATACACACGCTTGTGAGTTCGTTGTGCTTCTTTTTACGCTCAGTTGAACTGTTTTAAGACAGAGTTTGAGTGGAGTTCAAAATCTTTGCCTACTGCACCGGACGATAGGCGAAGCAGTGTCGGTATGCTTTCGGATTCGCCGAATTCCTCGTGAGGTTTATTCCCCACACGAAGCACTAGGCTCTTGCGAGCTGATAACACACCTAGCATTTGTCTGCTTCAGATTCAGTCCTGGTGATCGAGTTAACTGGAATGTATCTCACTATGAATCACAGTCTTGATTGAAACACAATAATCGCTGAAAAATACCCCCATCTATCTGTAAGCATGACTCTTTATAACTCCATGGGATTTGGAAGTAGCAACTTCTTTTTATACGGTTCTGGTGCATTTTATAGAAATTACTATTCGTCATCTGAACTAGTCATTATGATGGGTATAGTTTGCAAATCTTAGCAGTCACCACCTTTTCTTTGTTCTACACATCTACTACATCATGTTTTCTCTCTTCAGCTGGTGCGGTAGAAGTAAAGATGGAGGAGTCAATGACGTTGGATTCTAATGGAACTTCCTTCGTGTTATCCGATTCAGACGCCACAAGATCAGTGTCGATTCAGTGGTCTCAGTCGGAGCCTGGTGCTGACGACGAGGCTGGCATGGTTCACGTTATTTTCGATCTTGTCACTTCGCAGATACCTCCTTCGTTGTCCCTGAATCGGGACACTGTCCAGGTCCGGATCCGACCAGAGTCAACTTCAGAAGACAAACCTCAAACCCTCAGTGTCATCATCCATTCGGACAGAAAGGATTCTGTGGAAGGTGAAGCATTCACTCTTATCGAGCAGTCTCTATACGGCTTCGTGGAACCCAACCCTATGTGGACTATTGATCGAGAAGTGAAGTGGTTAGTCCAAGTCGTGTTTTATGACAGGTTTTACTTTGGGGAGTCCATTCAGCTCATAGAAGTCTACAATGTACTGCATAAGGCGAAGTTGTTTTTCTTTGTATCAATCCACCGTTGGAGCGGGTGATCGTTACTCATGTGCACCGTAAATTTGAATTTTTCCAGCTACGATCATACGGTCTGTGCTCGAACGTACCGGATTGGTCGAAGTTTCCGGAACCACCGCCTTTCCGCATTCCAGGCACCATTCGGGCTGTGCACTGACAGCGTCTATTTGCTAACGGTAGTGAAAACGCGTACGCACAGCAACATGATTCAGGGTTGTTTTCATAGAGAACCGACAGTGTCACATAACATGAAGCGTAAATCTAAGAACCAATCGGAGCACTAATAGCGTACGAACAGACAAAGGACCAGACAAACATGGAGCTAATCAGATGCACACCAAAGGAGGAAAGTGATAGCGTTAGCATCACAGTGAAACTGATTCACACCTAGGGACAATAATCGTCAGCAGCTAACGAAATGACCCGTCTGTTAATTAGTACAACAGAACGAAAATCTCTAGAACAAAAGACCATCTGGTGAGCAATTGCTTTCAATGATTCATCATCAGACCATTACAATCATATAGAGGCTAGAATGAGAAATCGACTCAGTTAGTTCAAAATGACTTGATCACGTTGAAGGTCTATGTCAGAGTGGTGAAAACGAATTAGGTCTTAGAGGGCTAGTTGTTTGCTACCGCGTCTGACCGAAGGCAGTCGACCTGGGCGTCTTCCATCTTCGCTGGCCAGGGAAGCTGGAGAGCCTGGACCAGCTTCTTCTGTGAGCATAAGGACGGCTGGAACAATCGAATGCATATTGCTTCAGCTGTCGCAAGCGTACGAAGGCGGTAACCTTTCGTTCCGTGCGGTGGAACCTTGTAAACTATTCGGAAAGCGCGTTTCCAATCCACCTCATGGCCGGTGTCCACATTGTGGGCCCGAATGGCGCTACCAATAGTCCTGGTGCCCCCTTGACGCAGCCAACGAAAGCAATGTTCGTTCACTCGTTTGGATAACTGCTGCGCCGTTCGACCAATATACGTCGCGCCACAGGCGCACACGAATTGATAAATTACCATTGATGTGGTCAGCATCGGCAGCTTGTCCTTGTTTTGTGAACGAATGAGTGGTTCCGTTGAGAACACGCACTTCAACGAGGCTGCTGGAAAGGTCGACTTTACCGCGGCCGAAAGGCTTCTGGTTAGACGCTCGGTAGCCGCGTCCTCTTTGAATGGCAAGCGATTAAATAACTCTTAGATGCTGTTAACACGCACTGGTCTGGGTTTTTCTTGGAGGTTCCTTAAGATAATCTGCAGTTATGAACGTTTACGCAAGCATACCTGAACTATTATCCTTTCTCTAACACTTCCGTCTCCTTCCTCTAGCAGTTTTGCGCAGATACGCTGATGCGCTATCTGAAACTTATTCGACTTCATTTCTCCATTCTTTAAGGTTGATCTTAAATGGCATTTATTGGGTACTACTTAAACTGGCTGTCAAATTTACCACAAATTTGCGAAAGAGCTTTACTTGCAATCCGCCCTCGTTGATAGGTAATCTGCCCACGTCAGCCCATTTGATTTTGGACATTCAGCCGTGGATATTTTGCTTTACAGAGGCAGATGCGTTTTAGGAATTGCAATGTAGTGTGAAACTATAGCATATCATCGTAACGTAAATGCCTCCCACATCACTACGGTTCTCGGTATCCAAACGTGGACTGAGGATGGAGCTTCGTCTTAGCTGCGGCTCATTCGCGCCCCATGTCTGGAGATTGCACGCTTCGGATGGCGAAGATGCCTTCCCTCTCTCCCCTCCCTCTCCTTGAGTGCTTAGCGGCACTGTGATCCGGTTCAAATGTTCTGAATCCCATTATTATCACTGATTTCACCGACACGTCACAAATTGTTGTTTCCAATAGATGGTGATTTTGACTTGGAATAATTACAAGTTTGGTGATCACAGGGATTATTGTGCAATGCTACGCACGGATACTATCACCCTGCATGATGCTGAGGCGTTTGTATGATTCAGTTGTCAAGCTCGGTGAGCATGTGGATGCCGAAACTTGAGCAGTTATTACCTTCGCTGCGCGAGTGCAACGAATTGTAGGGAAAATTGTCGGGCCGATGGAGGGTTGGCAGCAAGCCACTTCTGCCACACACACACACACACACACCGAAAAGTACCATTGTTGCGTAACCTCATAGCATCCATTATCCTGTAATGCTGTTTCCATGCATATGCGGTTGTTATTGTTGTACACTGGCCAGGAATTTCCACGCCGGTACGAGCAAACCTTTGTCTCTCAACCAAAACGTGTAGTTCTGAAGGAGGGGCCGACCTCAACGCAAAGAAATGCATCATTTGGTCGCGAACAGTGACTTCTTTTGCAACTTTGGCCCTCGGTGGTGTGTCCATACTACTTCTGCCTGGTGAGCATTTTGAGTTTCAATCATCTTCCTTTCTTAGTTACGAAATTACCCAAGGTGCGCTATCTTGGAGATTGTCGTGAATTTCTGGCTCGAGACAGTTTTTTGAACGAAATGGGCTTGTTTTTATTTCAGCACTAAGGCCAGTTCGAACTTGAGCTTAGTCAGTTAAGAAGAGCGTTGTTTAGCCATCGGTACATGCTAAAACGACCTTGTCAAATGGGTTGATAGGAAACAGAGTTGCTTGGAAACCTATTTCGCGTCCTCTGCGCCTACACTTCGAAACGAGTAGCACCTACCCTACCTCTCTATATTCAGAGTCTTATAGAACAACGAATGACCACATCGCTCGTTTCAGTAATGTAACCGTAGATGATCCTATTTATCCTGATCAAGTCATCGGATTGCCTCCCTCTATGCTCCAGTCGAAGTTGAGGTTGGGGCAAACTTCTAGTCGACTTCGTCTTTGAAAATTTCGGTTTTACCATTACCGTTCTCTTCTCTCTTAACGGCATCCTCCGGAATTCCGCGTTTTATGAGAGTATACTTCCAATTAGCATGACGATGGTGCTAATGGTACCGCCCTCACGTTTTCCTAGACCTGCATTGTGGGTCGTACGAATTGAATTTGCCGATTGGCACAACATGGTAGGCATTGTGGCGCCCAGTTGTCGACAACGGTCGCATCAATATTGTCCCAATATTTATTTCTCATAGACGCGATATCTTTGCCGTCCTAATACCTGTGCGCCATTTTGTTTTTACAGCCTCGAAGTCCATTTATCCAAAAAGCACACATTACACTGGCCTCGACTTCTGCGTGATGTGGAGATTGATCGAAGCTTAGTGAAGGTTGAACAGTCCGACCATGCACTCAATGAGATGGAAAGTATTCGACCTGAATTCACAGCGACTGCCGACCCAGTCACAGTAGAACCTAATGAACTAACGAAACCGGCGTTTAACGTCGACCAACTGGAAGAAGTCGACTTTCCGCTGGATGACGACAGCGACTTAACTTTACAACGCTTTGATGCAAATACCTTGAAAATGACACACCAGGTTAGTGAATTTGATCCCTAGAAGCTTCTCGAAGTGTTCGCAATGACTGGAACACGAAATCTGATGTTTCTCATCTTGGACATCTCAGCTCAGTGTGTCTGTTTGTCCGTCGGCATCAGCAATTGGCCCAAACAACGCGATTATGCTTACCTCCTCCTGAGCAACCTCTGAATGCACTGTCAACTGTCACGATTCGCTTGCTTTTTGTAGTGTGATAGTGTTAATTGCTGTCATGAATATTCATCTTTCGAAGCGTATGACTGAAGGCGGTTAAAGAAACAGCATAGGACCAATTTGCATTAGAAGAGCGAAACCACGTGCGTCATTAATCTCGTAATCATTTCGTACTAAGAAGCACTCATGGTTCGCGAGAGGGCGATTACAGTCGGATCGAAAACCAACCTGCTCGCGTTTGATTTTCCATTTAACTCTTCGGTAGTGATGGGATAAAGAGAATAATATGTGGCGTTACAACCTCCACGAGATGGTCAATTAAAGTCCATCTACCCTCCTGGTCAATCCGGACCCCAGAATTGGAGCCTCATAGTTAATTCCGCGTACGAAGAGGGGAAGCGACGTTGAGATGAATGGGACCACTCAACTTTAGTTCAGGATCAGGAACACCATGGATTAAGAGATAATCAATGTGTTGATCTGTAAAGAAATTTATATCTACCAATGAAAATGAGAGTCATGATTAACTCTTCTCGAGTTTCGTTCATTGCTACCTAGACGCTGTCCATCACCTTATTGGTCCTGGACTCATTCGAATGTGAGACAATATCGGAGGATTGATGAAGAGACAGTACCGTGTTCATCACCATCAACTCGTAGAATTTCGCCTACGTACTAGCTGTTGGGTCTCTGCACTATTCAACACGATTGGAGCTGTGGACGTGTTTATCGTTCAGATGAAAATGAATGGATCTTAACTGGATTAGCACCCCAGTACTTTGTATTATTAAATACTGTATTGTGGAAACAAGTAGAAATTTTAATCTGCACAACTCCATCGCGATATATAAAAAAGGCGTATGCCATCCGTGCTAATCTGATCTTTCCTCAAGTTCTTATGCAGCACTTGTAAATATCTGACTTAAAGTTTCACTGCACTCACAAATGTAAGATGTCATTTCCAGTGCGCAATCGTTCTCCGAATAGAACGGTAGTGGAATGTAAATCCAACAAATTTTGGAACTGCAGCACAGATTTAGCCTCTACGACTTGTTCTGGCAAACTTTATCACTCACCGTTCGAAACACAGGAGGTGGGGTAATCGTTTTATACCTGACAGGTGAACCTCGTGGAGCCCACTATGTTTATGTTTGCGATGTGAAACGAAATTCACTTGCATTAGTTAACCGATCCATTCTGAGTACTACTCAAGCCAATGAATGCTGGAGTAATGGAAGACTTTAATGTAAAAAAATAAATGATTTATTCTCGATGGTGCGAGGCACGCCTTCAAAAGCATGATCATGGGAAAGGCTTCAAATTAAACCGATCATAGTGCGACACAACGATGTCTCGTGGTCTAGGCTCATTCGCTCCATTTTCAAGTTGTATCAGACCACATTAAAGTATGGAAAGAGCGCACTTCCGATTCCAGGTGGTATGACCACGGAGGCAATAAGCAAACGGGAAAATCTGTCAACCGATTAGTATAGGCATGATTCGTTTGTGACTAACTTGTGCACTCTATTTAACACTGTTTGTGACACAGTAGAGGTGCCTTCGGACTAATAGTTATCAACCGACATCTCCATGTTAAAAGTTGTCACAGGAACTTGTACCAGAATGATAAGGCGTTGGTCTTGTTTCAGTTGCCTTCATATTTCTCACATACATCATTCTGCAACGACTCATTGGTCCCTGTGAGAGCTGAGTCACTGAGAGGCTGGACTAGATTTCGTCCTGATCATGGTTGTATCGATCACACCTGCGGACGATCGACGATGATGGTTTTCCTAGACTTGAAATTCGCTCGTTGTACTGTCTCTCCGTGAATTGTGTGCCTGGGAAACTCCTTTCCATTCCAAAGTCTAATGGAACTATGGAGACCGAGTACGGGTGGCTATCTCCTGAGTTCCCTACGATAACTATGGTTCGCCAAGATTGTCCTATATCTCCTTTACTCTCCAATTTTGTGGGCGTAATCATTATAAATAGCCAAACTGACAGACCTTTCGTAGGACCTAAAGGGATTATAAGAACGTAACTGATCCGTGTTATGTTTTTCTCACCCTCAAGATAAAACGTACTGTTGTATGAGTGGGCCACTGGATGTGGTCGATCGGTTCAGTTACATTGGCAATTGTGTCTATGGCTGTGTCAGTCACATAGTATTGCAGACCTCACTTCATATAACTAAAAAGTTGTAGGTTTTTCATAGAAACCAGTCTATCAGCCAAATGCAGGGCGTGTAACGTTGCGATAATGCTCCCGCTACTGTGTTCACAGAATTGGCCAATTTACAGTAAAGACATTAAACGATTGTCCGTGTTTTATCACCGATGCTTGCAGAGTACTGCTCACACTTAGTGGGAAAACCGGGTGAGCAATGCCGAGGTGCGCCAGTCCGCCTTCTGGTGCCTCACTCAAATGTTTGCTGGAACTTCGCCGCTTACGTTGCCTAGGTCATGTCCTCTGTATGCCCGTTGACCGGCTACCTCGGCACGCATTGTACGTCGTCGCTGCACCAAGTTGGGCGAAATCGGGAGGTGGCCATTCGATGACATTGCGTTTAATCATGAACAAGCTGACCGGGAAATTGGTCAGGCTGGTGTACGCGCGGTCTCCGTGGGTGGGGGTCTCGGGCTACTTCATGCCATTAGTTGGACAGCCCCATCGAACGTAGAGTAGTCAGTGGTGCTCCTGCATTCTTTTTTCTTGCTGGTAATATTTCATCCCTGTTGGCTTTACACACTTCTTAAAGGTTCTTTGTATTCTGTTTGCAACTTAATTTTTCTCAACATTGTTATCGTGGCGACGTGAGTCACAGAAACTAGATCTACTGCACTTCGGTGCCCGAATCATAGTGGCTTAGCTGATGGCTGAAATGCATGCAAACTTGTGAACGCAGATGCGACACAAAATGATGGGAACTGTTTAGTTAAACCGCCGCTTATCAGGTTAGACATGTAGGAGAATGTCATTATGGTCTCTTTGTTTTCGTCGTCGTTTCCTATCACATTTCTGACTCAATTCCTTGTTTCACATATACCAGTGAGACGCTACTCAGTGACACGGTTTCCCAGCAATGAAAGCTGCTTGCTGTTGACCACCGGTTCTGGTCATTTCGGTTCAGGGGTCACTAAGTGTTGCTTTTGTGAATTTGAAGACAATCGATACCCCATTTCGACTGTTTAATAATCGACACTATCGTAGTGCAATGTGACCAGTACTTAAAGTCTTTTTGCGTTCGCCCGTGTGTTAGCAAGTTTCTGACCTGTTGAGTGACCACGAATCACTTCGCAGCTAGTTGCTATTAATCATCATTCGTTTACGTGTGCGACTCATTTTCAACGCTGAGATTCTTACAGTTCGTCTTCTTTCACATTCTACACATGGGTCTGGTGGTTTGGGTATATATGCTGCATGATGTGGATGGATGCCAAAAGAAAGAGCATCTACTTGTGTGCCGCCTTCATCGCATCGCTCAGTATCATTTTGGCCTTCGCAGCTCAAAATCACAAGGGTTTTGGAGGCACTAAGAACTGTTGCTGATGCATTGGTAAACATTAATAGGTCAGCACTGGATGAGCGATGAATTTGATGCTTTCACGGCGCCCATCTATATTGCATGTAGGAAGGGCACATTCCACACTGCTACAGTATTGGTGATTGAAGGGCAAATTATTATGCCCCCACTTTGATGTTGTCAGCAACACGAAGCGTCCAGAGGCGTTCCACTCCGACTGTGTTACGTTTCCTAGCCTAAGTATTGTAGAAATATGGCCACCGGTCCTTTGAACTCCTACGTCGAATTGATATCGCTTTATGCCTGTCGTTGCAATCCTACGGTCACGACCGCCATTCGGAACAAACACGCACGGAAAAACGGAACACTCACAACGAAATCACGTCACAGAATCACAACTGCAACACAAATCCAGCATTAACCCTGGAAGGAAAAAACAAGACGAGATCTTTTCACACGCCAACACGAAACCTACCAGGAAATAACGAAAACACATGATTAGTTTGGGTCATCCAACGGCCTTGTCAAATCAGCCAATCACAATGGCCGTTTGAAGCGGAAACAGATAGCGCGCACAGTTTAAAAATCAAAAGTGGTGGCTAGCAAAAGTCCATGGTTTTGACTGATTCTAGTTCTTTGGAAATATGTCAATTTCCCAACAGCCATCTACGGGTTGCTAATTCTGGATGCATGGTAAATAGGAGAAACTCACCCCTATTTTTTCGCTGCTTTTGGCTACTGATGAAATGAAACTGACTTTTCCGCTTGTCGATGGATTACCTCGCACCCGAACAGCAATCAGCCACCTATAGCCATAGAATTATGGACCTACCTTTTATGGATCCACCTTATATGGCCTGATTGCTTCTACCGAATGAGTCATTAGTTATCTAAACTTTACACCTATAATCCCTTTGTGGCAACCATCAGGTAAGCTAATATTAACCCATCACATCCCATCATTTTGTTCCAGGCTAATCTCACAGGTCACCAGTGGCTGTGTAACGTACTTGTCCAACGTGCAGGCTGTTGGCCTGCGACGAACGCCATCTGCCTGCGTCATGACGTCGACGGTATTGTGTGGCTGCCCACCTCTGCTGTTACTGCAGCAACCGGGGATTCGTCCAACTCGGACACGTCCCCGTGGTCCCATTCGGCTACCTTGCAAGCTTTCGGTTATGTGCTGGCGAGTAAGCAAGACCACCGCTTTGTTTCGACACCTCCACTGATGCCCGGTAGTCCATTGCCATTTGTAGCGGTTGCGGACTCCACCAGACGCATCTATGTGTACAAACAACCTAACATTTCTAATCTTGGACCCTCCACTAATGGTGTGCTTCGTCGACGGAACACTGCCGATTCAGGAGAGGGTCGAAAAACCGACGAAGTTGTACACGTGGCACGGCAATACGTTCTCGCTGTCGGTGACGATAGTCCTATTATTGGCTTTGTGGCTATCGGTCAGCCCTATCCCGCGTGCGTCGCATGCACACAGAAGAACATATACCACTTCTCACTTGACGCTTAACTGGACTGATTTTTTGAATGGTGCTTTTTTCAACTTCTATCAACTTCTGTACTTCGCAGCCCAAGTAATTTGATACATGCAATATTCTCCACTGGACACCAGTTTAGTCTATTTGTCCGACACAAAGCGATCCTTGTCAGCCAGTCGCCGTCTTACAACCGTTCTTAAAATCGCGTGACCATTTAGATTATATGAACCTATTCGTAGTTTGCGTGTGCGCGCGCGCAGTTTCCGAGCTAACGGATTTGTTGATACGGATCTATGTTAGTGTGGCAAATTATTGAGTATATTTCCATTTCGGTGGTAAGGCGTAAATCACAGGTGACCAGTGCCATAAAAAGTGTAAAGTTTGTCCCTCGTGTGACCATGTTGGAAATCGCCTTGGAAAATTCGTGGTAAGTGAACAACCCCGACAATTAACTGGCTAGTGTTTACTATGATGTCGACCGTTTATGTTCCGCTCCACATGTGAGTGAGCCTGACTATATTAACCGTTGTTCATCAGCCATACTGAATTTACCATCGCTTATGTGAACGCAGGTATTATGCAGATTGAAGGCGAAAGCGCAAAGGTGCCTACTAGAAGTGGAATTGTTCATGGCCAATTTTCTGGGTAGACTAAGAAGGTAATACTAACGGTAGTGGTCCGTCAGTATCCTATCATGTTACATCGGAAAGAAATCGGCGCATATCGATAATTGCTTATTTTAGGAGCTTCTAATGCCTATACTCGAGACGTACGATGCAAATCATTACCAAATACCTTATGGCCACAGCAGAGTACACAGGGGTACGTACAAACGATTGAGTACTTGGATGACAGCCATGCTACGTCTTGGACATTTGCAAAACAGTGCGAACACTTGTGAGAGCCGCATATTTGACAGTGGGCAGCTGGACAGTTGATGTTGTACTGCGGTTGTTGTGCGAAGGAGGCAGTAAGCGATGAGTATGTGATATTGCCACCTGTCAATGCTTAAGGTTGAGCAAAAAACGTTTTTTGAGAATCCGCACGTACCTCGGGCAACAGATGATCGGACCGGTCGGCGACGCGGAGAGCCTGAAGTGAATAGCCCATCGCATTCGCACGCCGTGCGATCTCACCCATCAGCTAGCAAACGAGATTGTACATATACGAGGCAACACCCAAATGCACACCATTTTACTGTACCACTTGTTTGTTTATCGTTCAACCTGGTAACCGTACTGATGGTAGTTACTTCACCATTCCTATGTCAGTTTCATACAAATATTGATGCCCAAGATTTGAGGCTGTCATTTTTGCTCACGTATAAATGTTAAAGAAAGCACCAACAGTTCGTATTGAGTATTTATTCTCATGCGTGCGAAAATAGCTGTTAGCCTGACCTCCAAACGAAGCCCATGCACATTCAAAGTTGAATTTAGGGAACACGCTGTGTGGTTGGGTTGCGACTCGCAACCTCTGTTGAGACCTTAGTTCACTTTGAGGTAAACTTCGGTTATTCCGATCGCGAAGGCCGTATCCATGCACGTTTGTAGTATTATCGTTCATGAGGTTAAATGTCTCTATACAGTTTTTGTGGTGGTTCATACTTAAGTTTGAACAAACGCATGTGCTATTGGGCATGGATGACGCCAATCCATGTAGATACCGAAAGAATTCGACGAGGATACTCATACCCCTTTTGTGCGATCAACTTAGTGCTGGCCTAAGGATCCCGCGCCTGCCTTGTAATCCGAGGGCGCGGGTTCGAGCCTGCGTAATGACCGGGCGGCCATCGCAGTATGCTTAGCCCTCCTGTGAGTAGTAGCATTTGCGCGGCAGCGAAGCGTCGGTACTGCGTACAGCCGTACTGCTGATACCTTACCTACATTTGATGGGGTTGCTGAATAAGTGGGATTGCGGAACATAGCTGATATTTGGTGGTGGATTTAACTGTATTTCTTCCAGATGTTACAATGAGCATGCCATATGCTCTTAGAAGCAAAGGACTGCCATCACTGTTGCATCAATTCGGATCTGGTCAGTGTTGTGCTTTATGCGAAAACACCGGATGTGAGTGACAATAAGCAAACGGTAATACTGCATGACACAATGGAACGTGATGCAGTTCAATGTACAAAGAGTGAAGGAGAAGCGAGTTAAGCTCGGCAGCTCTTGACACAGCAAACACCATCATCGGAGTGATCATTCTTACTGAACAAACTCCCAGTTCAGCCATCACGTCGTCTTGAATGCAGATATGTGTTCGGCAGATTCCCACATAGATGCGCTCACGATTTTCATCTCCACGGTGAGTAATCAGACAGAGACCCGGCTTATTACGACGCTAATCTGGGGGCTATTTTCATTAGATATCCGGTGTTGGCAGAATTTCGTTTGAATCCTCCCGTAAACTGTTTTCTCTAAAACCAAACTGAGCAAGATAGCCGATACTGAACGCGTGTTGAGAGTCGGTATGACATGGAGAACTGCGAAGTGTTCATTTGGATTCGGAGTAGGCAGGATAAGTGTGAGGGCTAAAATCTCACCCAATCCAACAACAAAGATAAGACCATTTTTCGCTGTCATAATGCTAAAATTCACAGACTAGTCATACAAAACTAAATGGATCAACAACCGCCGAACAGAGGGTGCCGAAGAAGCTATACCTGTTGCAGTGTTTGTGCATATAATGGACAAATTACTTCCCTAATGCAACTAGCTGGAACTGAGGGGAGATACCACATTCACAAAACAAAAGCTGGTGACGCCTAAAGTGCGGAATGGCAGGTTTTGTATTTGTTCATTCAAATATAGTAGACCATCTCTAGAATATCGTGATGTCCACGGAATGATGCTAGGTTACGATCAAGTTTACTTGAGAGTTTTAATACAACTGTTATAAGGTAAAAGCAATCAGAATAGCATCACCGAGGTTCATCTTGGTCCCGTAATTTGGAATCCTGTGATATTATGGCATGAGAAAGATGGAAAAGGCATTCGAAACATCGTGGGCAAGCCAAATTTGAACGCAAAACCGCGACTGATTCCTGACAGCACCAACCGTGTAGGAAAAAGTCTTGTCCAATGAACCAGAGATATCATACACACTAGGAAAGTCAGGCAAGGATAGGCAATCGACTGCTAATAGCCGTCTGAAGATGGCGCAATCGCAGAGCCAGTTTGTCCAGTGCTTGGTAGCGCGCCTCAGAGGTGGCTTCGGGACTCATGACCAGGATTTGCTGTTCTTGATCAATACGCGCCTGAATTGTGTTGTCTAAGATGCAAGCCACCAAGAGACTCTCCACCTCAGCCTCGCTGAGATTGAGTTGCTGTGAAATAAATGGAATACGAATGCGTGTGTACGGTCGAATTAGCTTGATCAAAACCTCTGTTCGTATGTTTCGTAGTAGCTCCTCGATGTGTTCACGAATAAAAGGATCCTCCATGATTGAGTCCCGCTCCCTCCGAAGTATATTTTCGAATTCTGTAATGTCATTATTTTGGTACGCTGTCACAAGGCTGGTCATCGCCATTATCTGTGGATCGTTCCTGTACGGCTTTGTTTCCTAAAAAATGAAAGCAAAAAGTCTAGCACAACTGAATACAACAGCGTACAAGTTTGTGGGATCGTGTCGCCAGATGAGCAATTAACCCGTAGCTAAAACGTAGCGTACCGAGATCATCAGAAAGTGAGCAGATGAAGGAGGATACGACAGCTTCGTAGTCAATGCACACTTACACAAAAAGGCATCAACAGTACGCCGTGTATGTGTCGACTTGGAACTACCGCAACACGCGCACGACCGTTCGCAGTCAAATGGAAACAAAGTGTCAGTACGAGAGCACTGGCGAGTTGTTCAGCACTCGCTCTTTATTCATTGATATCGGACGTGGACGGGAGGTTATCTATCTATGAGTGTATCACACAACCAAACCCGACATGGCAGGCGACGATACATGCCAGTGGCTAGTCCAGTGCCGTTGTTCTGGCACTTACTGTGAGCCACGCAGCCCCACAATAAAACTGCTAATTTTTAATACAATAACATCGCGTGTCTGTAAGCTTTAAGTGAAATTCGAACATACAGAATAACATTATGGCAGGAGGGCAAGTAAAAAAGTGTTTGTTTCCCAAACCTCAAGACATGTATAAGAGCCTAAAGCTCTGTAATTAACGGTAGTATCCTAGCGGCATGAGATCCGCGGCGACCGATATGAAGGTCATCAAAACTAGACCGACTATATGACTACACTGATCTAGTCTGATTAATGGTTCAGACGAATGACATGCAAATGACAGAATCAATTCACTGTCATGCTGATGTGGGGTGGCTCATTTCAACAATGAATTGTTACCCCGCCACAGAACAGGAAACAGTTTCTCAACTAACCTGAGAGTCGAAAGGGTTGATTCCAGATTTCATCAGCATATTCGCGAGCACAAGATACTTGAGGCACTGTGTTCGACGAGCGCAACCTGATTCGTCATAGTTCTTGAATGCTTCAAAGAAATCTGTGTGTGACTTCTCGAATTCGCCTTCCCTCAAATGCATTTTTCCACCACATTCTCGAATTATCCCCATAATAAGAGGGTGAGGTATGGCAGATTTGATGTGAAGTGATTGTTCATATAAAGCCTTTAGCTTTTTGTTGTTCTTTTGAGCAGTATACATTTGTATCTCCAGGGCATATATCTCCAAAAGCTGCGTGCCTTTTTTAAGATCATCTTCACCTTCGTTTGTTTGACAAGATTCACGGAGCTCCTTGACTATCCGTTGCAGCTGTAGGTAATCACCAAGTTCCAAATACAGTTTACCCAGTTTAGTGTTCGTTTTGAACCACAACCGCTCGTTCTTAGACTCACGAAGAGCATCTAATGTCGTAGTGTAAAAATTCTGCAACAAGCTCATTTGCTTGGAAGTAGACACGTAATCGAGAATAGAGTTGATAGATTTTTCCGAGTAATTTCGTGTAACCGCAGTTTTAATGTACGTAAGCAACAGTTTGTAATTCTCCATCATCGCTGTAAAATCCCCCAGTTTGAAGTTAATTTTCGTCATTTGCTTCAAGGCACGGAAGCCCCAGTCACCTTTTACGCCGCTGGATTCGATGTCCAACACCTTTTGAAACTCCTGCAAAGCGAGACGAGGAGTGTCATCCTTCCTTGATTTCGCGGTATAGTATTGATTTTCCAAGTCCACATCAGGTTCAGTGTTATCATCTGACGAATATTCCACTGACAACTCCCCATCGTCGAACATATCTTCATTAGAAGACATACCAATGCTAGTTGGAAGGTGGACGCGCAATGGACGATGCTTCGGGTGCAAGGAAAATGGTCAATCAACTGAAAAACAAAGACGGCAGTTACGGTACACAGACAAGTACTCAGTGAAAAAAGAATGCGGTGGAAACCAACCGGTGGTCGCTGCATGCGGTTAGGGTGCAGCTTTGTGGTATTAGCACTTGCAGCCAAAGTGGTGAGGCGGATGTGGACAAACTGAATTCTGAGTTTGGTTCCGCCTTTCAAGCGCAACCCCTTGCCTTCCTTCGTCACCCCAAGTCCAACTGCGCCCTTCAACCAAAGTGATGTCCACAAAGAACTCAAAAACTGAAGTTAAACAAAGCTAGTGATCCGGATACCTTATTACCAGTAGCGTTGAATGTGTGTCTAACGCACATTAGCTGAGGTGTGTTTCTCACCGTCGGCTACCGTGTATTGATGATGGTGTTCTGATTCTATCTCTAACATATCTCTTCAACAACTACTTCAATATGGGTTTGATCCCAGGGATTTGGAAATCGGCCAGAATAACTCCGATGCCCCAAAATGGACCTCATAAGTGTTGCCCGATTGTGTGTGCATCTGAAAGTTTCCGAAAAATTGCTTACCCTGCTGATTTTCATAGCCACTCTTGCTGACGATATCACCTATCAATTCGCGGATCGGGGAATGCCTTCCTTGTGGATGTAACTGCGAATAAGTCTCGGCTGTTCGCAGGCGAGATGAATAAGCAGCCGCGGACAATCAACGGCAGCGTCTCAGAGCGTGGGGAGTTCGGGGCTGGTTCTTCATCAAATACTACCTGAGGTCGTACGGCGCCGTGTCAGAGCCAATGCCATAGGCTATATGGTCATTGACCACACACTTCTGTACCCAGAGTTGGTACCTATCGGAGGGCGGGTGAAGAACGTTGCTGGTCACCGCTTATATGCAGACTGCAACCGAATATGAACAAGCAGAATGAGCCATCTGGTTGTCAACGATCTTCCTATTTAGAAACCTGCATGAATCGCCCGGCTGCCTTGCGGGTCACGTCCTTAAAACCAAAGGCTCGGGGTGGGGCCCTTAAGTCAACCCACTTTTTCGGCCTCAGCAACCGGGAAACTTACTGCCCACGCAACACATGTATCCTGTTGACTTTTTTACTGAATGTCTTTTCTTTATTTTTGTTACGTGTTGTGGTAACGAGACTGGACCTTAAGGTGGTGCGACGGTTTGCGCACCTCGTTGACCCATTGAGCTGTACTGGGTGCTGCCTCCGGGAATCTCGAGAGATACTCCTACTAGGTTGGTCATTGGTGAGAGGTCAGACAAACTCAGGCTCCTGGACCTTCAGGTTGGGGTTTGAAATGCGATGGCGTCCATTTCTGTAAAACTAAATCATTGCCACCCCGCTGCCTTACGGACAGGCTTTTGAGCCAAAGGCTTTGGATAAGGACCCTAATCGTCCTCCTGTTTAGGTCTGGGTGCCCTGGCAGTATCCCAGCCCACATACAACCATGACATTTTCTTCAAACATAAAATTCATCCTGTATCGGCCGTCGCGCAGCTTATCAAGGGTCGTCTCATCTGCTGCATACAGCAGGGCGGATAAGCGAAAATATGCTACTGCTGGAGCCTCCTTTCTTTTCCACCTGTTTCTCTTACTTCCATCCCGAACTCCATTACTAATATTCTATAATTCTCATCTTAATTGACAACAACTGAAGTGCCATTGGAGTAGAACCACCTGCAGCCACCTTTCCGCGACACGCACCGGACGCCTATCAGCAACAGTCCCTTATAAGGCCACGCTGTCCCGTTCCCATGGCGACGTTCAACGTTCGCGCTCTAAGACAAACAAGTCAACAAACTACACTCGCACGCACGTTGGACACACTGGGTATTGATGTATGTTGTGTGTCCGAAACTAGGATCAACGACCCTAATGGGATTGTTGAATTAACTGCACCCGGCTTATCCTCTCGTTATTGGTTGCACGCATCCGGAGACGCCGACGCAGCAGTACTGTTGTAAGTAACACTTGGCCAGTAAACAACTGGCAGAGTGCCACAACAACAACAAAAACACATCAGTCATTTGAACTGATGCTTCGCTGCCATACAACCATGATGACCTATGAAATAATAAGAGGGAGAGAAGCGGGACTTACCGGAAAACATTAATGACCTAAGCAAACATTCAGGGTCAAGGCGTCTACATCTTGTGTTAACAACATACCGTCCCAAGCAGCTGGCTATCGTGCAAACATAAAACGGCATCGGCGAGACAGCTTCCTTGCGGCTTTCACTGCTTCGCCTCATAATCAGCCAAAACCCCGCAGATAACTCAGCAGCAAACACACTTTGAACAGGCAATCCCATTAGGAGACGGCAGCAGATTGGTGTCGGTTGTGAGCCATGTCCTGTAAAGTCTCGAGCCACGTGGACTCCAGCGTGGAAGGCGAGACGGAACAACGGCACCCAGTTTGGTCGTCAATAACTGCCAAGTCAACTTCTGTCCACCTCGAGCCTTGTGCCAGCCTACAACTGGCAGATTCAACAAGGCCCTCCTAGGTAAGCGGTGACTAGGCATAAGTAGCATGTGCCCGAGCCAACGCAACTCAGGCATTGCTACCTGTTGTTTTAGGGAGATAGCATGATTATCATTACTTAGTACTCGCCTACGCACATCATCGTTGCGGGCACGCTCGTGCCATCCGACACTACCAATGCTTCGCAGACAATGATGATCAAAGACTTGAAGGCGTCTCAGATCTTCAGACCGAAGGCGCCAAGCCTCACTACCAACCAGCAGAACGGCTCTCACTGTGGCCTTGTATACACAGCCTTTCAGACGGAGGGAAACTCCCTTCTGCGCCAAAGATGCCGCAGGTTCAAGAAGCCAACTCTGGCGTTTTCAACGCGTGAGTTGACGTCAGTTTCTATGCTTCCATCGTTTCTGATACAGCTGCCAAGATAAGTGAATTGATCAACCGCCTCAAGTTCCTCGTTAGCAAGGATCAAGGGGGTCATCAAGTGGCTGGTGGTCCTGCAGCAACACCTTGCACTTTGAAGGTGCGAACTGCATACCAAATAATGGGACCACTCTGGATAGGCTATTCAGGGTTGATTGTGCCGTCTCAACATTGTCGAAAAGCAAGACGATATCGTCCGCATAATCTAGATCAACTAACCTTTCACCAGGCAGCACTTCAACGCCTACATCGTGAGATTCCGCAAGGGAACATTCCATGATAGAATCCACGACGAAATTAAACAAAAATGGGGAAATCGGACAACCCTGACGAACGCTCAGCTTTTATGCGACCCCACTTAGAATACTGACGTAGGCTTGTCCAACATGTATTGTAAGAAACAAAATGGAACTGGAGAGGGTTTTACAACTGATCACAAGGTTAGTTAAGAGATTACGAGGGCAAACGTATCCCGAACGTTTGCAGTTTGGGTATGTACTCAATGCACCACCGAAGGCTTAGAGGAGACCTAATTCTAATCTACCGTAAGTTAACTTGGAAGGTTGGTCCAGATTTATCTTGGCTATTCAGTCTCGCTAGATTGTCTGTTCTACGCGGTCATTCCTTGAAGCTGGACAAACCGCGGTCCAATCGGATTAGGGCGGAAATTCGGCTGTCACGCCGAGTCATCGAGCGCTGGAACATGCTTCCGGAAAGTGTTATCAGGGGTTTGAGCGGCAACTTGACACTCTTGGGTGGCCACACGTAACCTTTCCCTTTTCTTTACTAACTCGCATCTTCATACTTCGAGTTTCTTTTCTCCACTTTTCTTCATGCATTGGTGTTATCCTCTTATTCCAAGTGCACCTTCTTATTCTGTACCCTCGATTACGTCACGTGACTGCCACAGCAAGGACTGCTAGTGCAGGAAGCGCGGGCATTAACTGGTTGGTCAGGGTGCGATACGGCTGATCCGTTTTAGCACTTCATCAATTTCTGGCCTAACGATCCACTCAAGATGAACCACTCACGGGATTCTTCTATCGTTCTAATCCAACCCGAACTTGAACTTTCCACTTACTTCCACATACGGTATACAGTAGTATTCGGTATTCCGTATCTCTACCGACTTATGGCACCTTACTATAATTGTTTATATTCAGGCATATTTCTGTGATCGTGTGTCTTGCAGCTGAATATTCACCCACCAAAGGTGAATAAAGCAGTTTTTGACTTGATCTCCTATCAGCTTTGGTAGATTCAAATTCAGATGACTCTGGAACGATAGGAAAATCCCTTGAGTGTTCCTTCTGGAGCAGATCGTTGAGCCAAGAAATGACAAGGTGAGACGAGGTCTTTTGGATCTAAAATGAAACATCCGAACCACACCCTGGTCAGCCAATTACTGTACACCTTCCCTGCACTAACACTCCCCGTTGTGCAGGTCACATGAAATACGAGGTAGGAAGAAAATGGAGAATAAAGAGGAAGAAAAGTCATCTAAATGAAGGATAATACCAACGAGTGAGGAGAATGACAGATACGAACTCCAAGTTAAAAGATGGATGTGGTCAGAAGAAGGGAAAAGTTTCGTGTTGCCACCCAAGAGCGTCTAACTGACGCTCGAAACCCTTAACCGTACGTTCACTGACTACACTTTCAAGAAGCGAGTTCCAGCGCTCGATAACTTTACGCGATAAACGAATTTCCGCCCTGATCCGATCAGAACGCGGCTTGTGTAGCTTCACGGGATATCCGCGAAGACAAGGCAACCTAGCCGGGCTAAATAGTCGGTCCAACCTTCCCTGTTAAAATGCGGTAAGCAAGGACTAGGTCTCCTCGAAGACGTCGGTAGTGCATTGAATACATATTCAAGCTAAGTGGACGCTCGGGATACTTTTGCCTTAGTAACCCTTCGACGAATTTGGCACCCACTCTCGAAGCCCTCTCGAGCTCCATTTTGTCCCGAACAAGGCAGGGCGGGCAAGCCTGGACGTAATATTCCAGATAGGGCCGAACGAATGCTGAGAACAGCTTCACAGAAATGTCGGCAGTTAAGACTACGAAAGAACGGCGTATTAACCACAACATTTTGAAACATCTAATTG